ATAACCCAAATTGTATATACATAACACTATTATTTACATATTTACTTTTTAACAGCGATTGTATATTTGCACATTTTATATATCTTTTCTGTTAATACTGTTGATACGTATATACTGCTGCAGAATTGTGCTTCAATAAATTATTTCTAAAAATTTGATTTCACATATGTCAGCCTAACAATTTAAGAACCGTAAGGTGTGATCTAAAGTTTTTGACTTTAACGTAACTGATTTAAATCAGCTTTCCCATTAAGATTTTCCAGTTATACACTACTTTCAACTATTTTTAGCTATTGTTATTTTTAGATCATTCCCTTCATGACCGCTTGCTCTTCCGTGTCTGCAATTTCACTCTGGACAAACATCAACTTCTGTTTCAAATGAACACAAATTACGTGTGGAGGATCTTTCTGATGATGATAGTTCGGTTTCTGGCTTTGACCCAGATGTTTTCAGCAGATTTTATTATTGGAGGCCTCCAGGCTGAGACTGTCAAAGCAGAGTTCTAATACTCAGCAGAAATGACCTGTGTGCCAGCACATCGAAAATTCAGGACTTTTTTCACCATACCGTTTGCTCATCATCTGTCTTACATACCAGTTTTTGCATCCCAGAGAGTTCTCCTCGTCCCTAAAATAAAAAGTCAAAGCTAAAGTCTTGATGTTGGAATTTCATATAAAAGAACCAGAACATCTCCTAATGACGAGCCACTACTGAAAATGCAAAAATGCACGCCTTACTTCACATCACAGAGTCCAAAGGCTGTGATAATGGTTAAACAAGGTCTTTTCTCACTGTTTCATGTGCTGGGTCGGATCTGATTTAGTGGGAACAGTGGGGACTTTTATACTTACTGATGAACTGCAGCTTTTTTGAAGAGACTGATTTATATTACGGTGCCCACTGTGGAGGCTGTCACAAATCCTTACAGCAGCAAGATTCTATGAGCTGATATTTATGACAGCAAAACTTGACAGTTGATCAGATTTAATGCTAACACAGCAGGAAGACTAACAGTATCTTTCATCATAGTGATAAGATCTACAAGATTTCAGACAGAATCTTTCAACACAATATTTTCCTCCTTAAGAGCATTTTTTTCTTTTTCCTTTTTTTTTGTACCTTTCTTTCAATAAGTCTTATCAGAGAAACATCTGGTTGAATTTAGACAATTTGAATTGACCTCTGCAGTCATGTCACAGTGTGGTAACTATTACTGCTCTGACAAGACCTGGTGAAAGTCATCATCAAAGGCATTGCAGTTGTGGTTAAAAGAAAAATAACTTCATCTGTACACCAGGAATTCCTCAGACTCTAAGCTAATTGTTGTTCCAGTCATGTATGTCTGAAATGATTTTATTCATTAGTGTTAAGGCCTTCAAAATAAAATTTTTTGTTTGGTTTTGCTGCTTTTTTCTTGTTGAAAAGAATAAATAAAGTTTTAGGGGGAAAAAATAAAATTTGGAATAGGCAAGATAAGTCACAAAAAAAAAAAACTGGAACCTTTTTTCATTTTATTGAAGAGTCTGAGCAATCACTTTCAGTCCACCCTGGAAAAAAGTGAATGTAAGTGATAACAACTTCTTTAAAAGTTATTTGGAGGCAGGTATTCCATTTAAGGAAATAAAATTTAAAGTGTGGGTTGTAGAGATGGCCCTTGATGTGTCTGCTGTATTTGATCTGGTGTGAACCATCCCCAATCTCAATTTCCAAAGGACATTAAAGGAAGAATTGTTCTTGACATGCAAGAAATTTAATACTGTTGTTATTCTCCTACTCACATCAAAAGCACAATAAATAATCCTAAAAGACATGAGAAACAGCTAAAATAAAAAAAATAAAAAAGCAGAAACCTCTACAATTTGCAAAAAAACCCCAACTTCTTTCTTGTTTTTGTGTTTTTTAAGCTTTAAAATAAAGGATACCACGAGTGAAAGATATATCAGTTTTACAAATACTAAAGGTTCCACAACACTTCAAGACAAAAATAAAAAAATGAAGTGCACACCATTAACGAAACTTCATCGGAGCTGTTGTACTTCATTTGCTACCTCAAGGCTTCCACGTCATATAATGGCTGAAGGTGGTGATGGTGAAGCTGTTTGTGACCTGACGTTTGGGATAGTTTCATGATGCACCAAGACAGAAAAAGAAAGAAAGAAAAACAAAGCACACAGGAAAAAAGAAGAAAAATTGATCTGTTGATGATCTGACTCCAGATATGTCCTAGAGAGGAAAGCTTTAAAAGGATATGCCAGAAATAGTGATGAATTGAAATACTTTTTTGGAAGGGAAATGGTCTAAAATTCCTTCTTGTCATTTTTCAAGGTCCTGCAAAACAGCATCAGGAAAAATCCTTTGAAAGTCCTTTGAAAGTGGTGGCTGCTAAACTAGGTTCTGTTCTACGAATCACTAAATTGAAGGGTTCATATAATTTTTTCCAGACTTTACTGAGTGATGACAAAACTGCATTAAAAGGCACGAAAATTACAGCCGTTCGCGTGTAATGACACTGTATTTACATATAATTGTGACAATATGAGATCAGACCATATTAAGTATATTCACTAATCTTAGTAACTCAGCAAGCAGGGAGGCTTTTCCTCTTTCAACTTTCAACAACTGCATGTGTGAGCAGAACAGAAAACAGAAGTTGCTTGGTGAGAAGAATCTATGATAATGCATCCAGATGACACTAGATGTTAAAATAGTATCTGTATCCAATCTTTGCATTTACCCAGAGGAAAGAAAATCACTAAAACAACAGGGGGTTATTCGGTGTCATTATATGTTGAGGTTTTTGAAGCTTGTGGTACCAAGCATTCGTGTTTCAAGATGGTCATGCTAACAGTTTGAAATACAAAAGTCTAATGGAGTGAAGTGGGGGTAATTGAGGTTTCTCCGTCTCCCAGAGAAGAAGACCAGTTGCGTTTATTAATCCTCTTATACATCACAATTCCACTAAAGTTTACCTCTAAACAAAGAGTGAACTGAGAATTTTGCTCTCAGGGGTGTTTGAACACATGGCTAAAATGTGGGCTAGTGTGGGATGCTTGCCTTGGGATGCTTCCTGTAACCCATGCAAATCCTTTCTTTCACTATTTGGGTGACAGAAAAAGATCTGTTTGCCTTTCTGTAAAAGTTACCGCACGCCACTGCTGTTTAGTGTCAGATTATCCCAATAGAGCAATTTGCTCTTAGAGTACATGCTTACTTGTGGTTCTTGGAGCTGCTAGAAGCATAATGGAAAGTATAGCCTACAGCTATTATAATTTTCTTTCTTTAAAAGGCAAGCCTGAAAGCCTGTGGAGCAGTTCATAATTTGGGTTCAGATACCAGACACCTTCCGCGTTAAACTTTGTTTTTTTATTAAAGCTTATGGTTAGGTCAGCTAGCCCTGAGCCATCCCTTAGTTATGCTGCTATAGGCTTTGGCTCCTGGTGGACTTGATCCATGATGCACTAAGCATTTCTTCCCCTCTTGCCTGTATATACTTGCATTACATTTATATGTTATGGCTGCATGTCATGTCACAGCAGATGGCTGGGTTAGGGCCCTGTCTGTGACTGTTGGAGGTCACTTTCTGTGAGAAGGGAGATCTTCTTTGCCAGTATTGCCAAGTGCATGCTCATAAGGACTTTTCAGATAGTTTCCATCTAACGTTGTGGGATCTTTACATTGTGATTTGAAATGCCTTAACACAGCTGTTATTGTGAATTGGTGCTACATTATATATTGGCATGTATTCCTTTATCCATACAATTTCCACTTCTAATAATCACCCACACAGTTTCAAATTTGTCAAGTAATATCAAATTTCCACCCCCTCAAAGGCTGACTGCTTTCACCCCATCTCCAGTTTAGAGAATCGAAATCAGCTAAGACAGCTTGTGAAGCCTTGGGTTTGAATTCATTTGTGTAAAACTATAAAGAAGGTAAACCTCAAAGCAGCACGAGTCAGCTGATTAAAGCTTGTACACTGGAACTGTCAATGGAAATTATCGCCACTACAACCAATCTTTGTGTTCCCCTACCTGCTGAATCCCACTTTAACTCCTGACTGTACTCTTTTTCCTGTTTAACTGTGGAGGCAAAATCAACTCTATAATGTAGGCAACAGAAAATTAAGGTATTTTTAAATTGTTTTTCACTGTGTCCTACATAACAGATTTAAACTGAGTGCATTCATGAAAATTAGAATTTAGATTGGAATAACTTTCATATTCATTTTATATTATTGTGTACTGAATTAATATAGCACATGACAAAAATAGCTGGTAGAATTGTCCTTTAAAATGCTCCTTTTTATTTTCATACTTGGAGTACATTTCCGAGTCTGTACTTTTTATTATTTATTACTTTAAGTTAAGAAGTTGATTGAGTACTTCAGCTTTTAATTTTTTCAAAAATGTTTTTTTACTTAAGTATCTCTACTTTTGCCACCTCTGAAGTTATTTTGTTTCTAGTCCAGGG